AAGACCCTGTATAACTCAATAGTGTGTTTTCATGTGACGTCACGGCATATATTAATTTCATACGCCGCCATGTTGGTGGAGTAAAAGACCCAATATGGCGACTAGTCATGCGGAACAAAACGTAAACAGTGAGTCAGAAAAAGGAATTATTCATGAGATCCCTTTGTCTGAATATGCAAAATCTCTCGACAGTGCTGTTAGAAAGCGTTATATTGAGAAAATATCTGTTATTGGAATAGACCCTCTCTTTATTCCAGAGGAAAAGTTGAGTACCGAATGCCTTCCCCGCGTAGAACCACTCGATCTTGTATCGTATCTTGTTTTAGAGACAAGTTTTTATACCAAAGATCAATTTAAAAATTTTAGAGGCTTGCAAGCCTACAACCAAATGGTATCCGGCTTTATTACAAGTATTTTAGGTCAGATTTTTAGTGGTAAATACGTGGTTATTGGCAAAGTTCGACACTCACAGCGAATGAATGAACCACCGGTGCAGCTTTGGATAATCACAACTAAAGATGGGACTGTTCTTTCTGCGCATTGTCATGGATGTATGGCGGGTTTAGGAGAGTGCTGTTCGCATATTGCCAGTATTCTTTTTTACTTAGAAGTTTCGACAAGGTTAAACGAGAAGCTCGCGTGCACCCAAGTTAAATGCTCTTGGATTTTGCCCGCTACAGTGAAAAGCGTGGATTATTTAAGAGTGAAGGATATTAATTTCACATCAGCGAAGAAAATGAAGTCTGATCTTGACAAGACTGTTAATTCTTTGAATTGTGCTGCAGATACCAAGAGTTTGAGTGCTTCCTTGGAATCAAGCGGTGCAAGTGCTTCTGCAACGCCACGCAAGCCAAAGGCCCCTCCACCTAGACCCTCTTTTAAGGAGCTTGATGCATTTTATGAATCGCTCAGTCAATGCCAAGTAAAGCCTGTTTGCTTGAGTTTGGAAAAGTCATATGCAGCGATGTTTATTTCTAAAACAAGGGGCATCAACCCTCTTTCAGATTTGTTTGATCCCAAATTCCTGCAGCTTAACTACATTGATCTTCTAAAGGAATGCTACAAAGTTGAAGTTAGTATCAGTCTTGAAGAAGTTGCCTTGATTGAAAGAGAAACCGTGGAGCAAACGAAAAGTAATGCCTTTTATCGATACCGAGCTTGTAGGATTGGTGCTTCAAAGTCTCGTGCTGCCTCTCATACAGATCCATCACAGCCATCCCAGTCTCTAATTAAATCTATTTGTTATCCACATCTTTTTTGTTTCAGCACAGCAGCAACAATCCATGGTTGTAAGCATGAGCAAACTGCAATAGAAGCATATGAAACTCATATGAAGCAGAGTCATACTAATTTTAAGGTGACAAAATGTGGAACATTTATTGATGTAGAGCATCCTTTTCTTCATGCCACCCCTGATTTTTTATGTGAATGTGATTGTTGTGGATATGGCTGTGGTGAGGTAAAGTGCCCATATTGCATTGAAGGAACTGATTTCAAGAACTATTGTGAGAAGAAGTCATCTTGTCTTCAATGGAATGGTGAGAAATTCTCCTTAAAGAAAAATCATTCGTACTACTACCAAGTCCAGCAACAACTCCACATAACCAAAAGGGCCTATTGTGATTTTGTTGTTTTTTCTATTTCAAAAAATGGTTCCAAGCTAGTTCAGGAGAGAATTTTTCCAGATTCTGAACATTTTGCTTTGCAGGTGGCAAAGCTTTCTTTGTTTTGGAGGACCTGCATATTACCTGAAGTCCTTGGCAGATGGTACACGCGAAAGATGGATTTGAAGAAAGAGCTTGGTTCTGTCTCATGTGGGGGTGAATGTTACTGCAGGAGGACCTCAAATGAACCTACTGCAACATGTTCAAATCCGGAGTGTCCCATTTCCCGATTCCATTTAGCCTGTCTCTCCATGAAAAATGTTGCAAAGACATGGTTATGTCCACATTGTAGAAAATTACCTAAGTTTGGCCATGGTAAGAAAGGGTTAAAGACACATGATAAAGTTCCTAATTTATTTGAAGAAGCTTTGTCAATGGAAAGTATCTGTGTTTGTAAAAGGAAAGCAAATTCTGATGACAAATTGCTGAAATGCCACAATGATAGTTGTTCTAATGGGAAGTTTTTTCATTTACAGTGCATGTCATATAAGCGATACCCAAATAATTATAAATCTTCTTGGGCATGTAACTTCTGCAAATTGGACAGCATTCGTTCCACTAAATCTATCAAACCTAAAGCTACAAATTCAAATCTACCTTTTTCACCTTCTGAGAGTTCTGTTCATAATGATCATGAGATTGTCTACTTTGGTACTAGAGAAACTGAGCAAGTGGATAAATACAGTATCATTTCAACACTTACAAATCACGACTTCGATGTTATAGAATCATCTACTGGCTGGTTGGAAAATACTGTCATTCAACAAGCTCATGTCCTTTTAAAGCAAGTTAACCCAGATATTCAAGGATTTCAACGTCCAAGCTTGGGTCCATGCCACAACTTTGACAAGGTTCATGGAGATTTTGTACAGATCTTGCATACTGGGGGAAACCATTGGGTGTGTGCTAGTTCAATTGGCTGTGAAAAAGGTGTTGTAAATTTGTATGACAGCCTTTTCAATGATGTTATACTTGATGATCTTGAACAACAAGTAGAGAGTCTAGTTGGAGAGGATTTCCAAGGAATCAATGTTGTACCAATACAGCAACAATCAAATGGTTCAGATTGTGGTGTATTTGCTATTGCTGTGTGTTTTCATGTGACGTCACGGCATATATTAATTTCATACGCCGCCATGTTGGTGGAGTAAAAGACCCAATATGGCGACTAGTCATGCGGAACAAAACGTAAACAGTGAGTCAGAAAAAGGAATTATTCATGAGATCCCTTTGTCTGAATATGCAAAATCTCTCGACAGTAACAATCAAATGGTTCAGATTGTGGTGTATTTGCTATTGCTTTTGCAACAAGTCTTGTTTACACATTGGACCCAAATATTCCTCAACTTAATGTATCAAAGATGCGACTTCATTTGTATGCTTGCCTGAAAGCTTGTCTCATTACCCCTTTTCCCACAGTCGAAAGCACATAACATCTGATACCACATTCAGTTTAAAATTGTATTGACTAACTTAAAATAATTAAACATTCCATTCCATGAATAAAAAATGAAACAAACTTTTTGCATTATTATTACAGACTTTCATAAACTATGTTAAATTTTTGGTGGTTAAATCTGAGAACTTCCACATGGTTACTACTGGGCAACAGCATGTTGTGTAAGCAAGGATAGAATAGTGCACTATAACAGTTATATTTATTAGTCACACAGCCGTAATTCTGGTGCTTTCATTTGTTAGAAATTTGAAAAATTCACCACCAAAAATTTAATATAGTTTCACTGTTACTATTTAGGCTTTCAATCAAAAGGTACAGTAGGAGGGCATAGGTTTACTAGTGCAGAGCAAATTCTAATCATTCTGTCAACTAGAGGTACAGATTCGCCTTTTCGACAAATTAGGTAATCAGTTGGTAAAGTTTGTTGAAGAATGGTATATTTCTGTCTAAGCAAACCAATGATTCTTTCAACGTGTATTCGGACAGAAGCAATTTTTCTTGTCTGTTCCACGTCCGCAGGATCAAGTTGGTCTTTACCTTTGGTGAATGCAGGAATGTTCAATTGGGCTTGCTGAAATTGAACACTTTCATGAATGGTAAAACCCCTATCTGCAAGAACCAAATCACCTGGTATAAGTTTATCCAGTAGACCACAGTTTTCAGTTAAAAATTTATCTGAAGTTCTCCCTCCCCAAGCCTCACTAACAAAACAAATTGTACCCTGTGGTGTAATTCCAATTAATACTTTAACAGTGTTATGATGCTTGTAACTTGAAAAAGTCTGTGCTCTTGCAAGGAGATTAGTCGGTCTATCAATAAAAATTTCAAAGCAATCAATGATAACTGTGGTTTTGCGTCCGAATGAGTCCAGGAAACATCTAGGCATGGTTGCGTACAATTCGTCACGATCTGGCCATTTGACAAGAGGACCTAAGCGAACATCCATGACAGTCAGCCAAGCAGACAAAATTCCAGAAACCACTGCAGATGAAATTTTTAAAGGATACGCAAGGTCAAGATGAGGAACAGCAAGTCTCAATTTTACTAAAACCATTGCAAACTCTTGAAACTTAGACAAAAGCTGAGGACGTCTGTCAACATAAGGTTCAACAAAACAGAAGACTTTTTGTAAAATTTCAAAGGAAGGTAGACCAGTGTAAAATTTTACTTTCTCGTTGTTATCAACAAAAAAAGCTTCATCAAAGTCAGAACATTGTTTATTAAGAAACAAAGACTCGGTTTGAAGCATACAATTATGCGTCTCACTTGTCTGAATGCCAACTGTTGTCGTTGAAACTGCTGTTTGTGTTACGGCATTTCTCAAGTTATCTGGCAAATTTTCAGCGAGGTCCTCGATATCGTCCATTTCAACGTCCGTAGTCGTAGACTGGAATAAATATTTAACACATACGCCAGGTTCATTCACTCTTTTTGACTTCTCTTTGGCCATTTCTTCTGTGCTCTCATGTGTACGTTTCCTTCGTTCTGCGACTCTCTTTGCTTTTTCAAGGCTTCGTTGCAGCGACGCTTCGTCTATCACAGATTTTTGATGTCCCATGTTAAGAGAAGGCACCCAGTCAACATTAAACTTATCCCACAAAGGAGCTGCTTTTCCTGAGTGAAAATGGTCTCCACACACACGATCGTTTTCAATTATTCGGTCTGTTAAATCTTGTCGACGTATGGCTGACAGCCATCTTCGCCTGCGTTCAGTTGACAAGATCTCCGTTTCCTCGCCTTGATTTTTAATAATTTTCGGTACACGACAGAATGAAAGATCTTTACGTTTAGATTTGTCGTTGGAACAGTTTATAATTAGGCAAAAAGCAGGCATTTTGCGACATACTTCAAACAAAGTAATGAAACTGTAATAGTTAAGTAAACACTTGCACGTCACCCTTTTCACTCCACCAACATGGCGGACGCTAAATTTTGGTGACGTCACAGCAGAATGTGCGAAAACACACTATTTGTTAAGGATGATGAAGTTGAAAAATGTCGCCCCACAGCAGAGGAACTGTCTACGTTCTATGCGAAGCTAAATCAGTGTAGCGTTAAGCCTGTAGCACTGAGTTTGCAGGATGATTAAGCAGGCNTTTCTCACTGTTAACTGTAAGTGATTATTATCATTAGTGATCTATGTGTGAGTTCCTAGATTCCTGAGCTGTGAGTTTGTTTTGAAACTATTATTTAAGTATAGAGTAAGAAGCAATGGAGAGGCTGCATTGTTTTACTGCCTTGAAAACTGAATACAGAAGTCAGATTTACATAAGTGTGCTAGTTATGGAATTTCTTTTAAGAATTAAACTTGATATATTGAGTCGAATTTGGTTGATAGAAATTCATATCTGCAACCAACCATGCAAGAAAACCTTTACAAACTACATGGTTTGAGAATGGTGAATGCTTTGTCATTCATTCATTCATTAACCTGACAGAGTGGTGCAAAAAGGCAAGTGACATGTCAGCAGCTGACAGGTGATATGAAAGTTATGGCTTTCCATAGTGCTAGAGATTGTTGCAAAACCCTGAAGTTAATATTAATAATGATGATCTTTTGTACCAAACAGTTTTGGCAAAACCCTGAGTGATAGGTATAATGCAGTGACCTGTAACGTTCTAAATCTGATTCAATTCTTACAGTTAAACCAGAGAATTTCAAGTTCACAGTAAGTAAATCAACTGTGTGCCAGGGTACTGTGGTCACCTTCAACTGTTCAGCAGATGGAAATCCCTCGGTGGATACCTATCAGTTGTTGGAGAATGATACACCTGTGAGTGATGGCAGCAATGGTCTTGGAATGTGGAGCAGGAATATGTCAAGTGGAGGAGTGTTCATTTACAAATGCACATGGCAAACAACTCTGCAGGAACAGCATACGGCACGAGCTTAACTGTTACTGTAAATGGTGAGCAACCAATTCCATCTAAAATATACGATTATCATGGCGCCATTTTTAAAAACAGTCAGTCATCTTAGATAGAAAGTACATGTATCCATTTCCAACCATGATTAAGTCGGGATAGGATTCTGGACTCCTGAGATGCTCAAGAAACAATTTAAAAAACAAATTACTTTTTAGCGCATGTACAGTGTACGTTGTTTAAATTCTTGCTCTCTCTTCCTATGATTTCGATGCAGCATTTTGTTATTCTCACACTAGAAGCTCAGCAGTAATAGGTGGAAAATGAGGTTGCAGCTACATTGTGCATTATTTCAGTGACTAAAGATTGCCTCAGGAGGGAAATCCCTTTGTTAGATTTAGTGCCCAACTAGTAATGCTAGACCACAGTGCAAGTGCTGTGTTAGTTACTTTGTAGGGCAGACTATGCTTGTTATCACAGATTGGCAAGTGGTCCTGAAGTAAAGCACAAACACATACCCATTAATCTCTTTTTAGTACTGCACTTGTGAAAAGGTGCAACCCCTCCACAAACTAAGTTTAGTCAGAAATTTCCTTGAAGGAGGACCTACATAGCAGCACCTACCAAG